GTATAGAGTTAATCATTCTACTTTATGAAGTCATTGTCCATTTCCACTATTGAGATTCCATAATAAAATTAAAAGTATTTTATAAGGGCTTTCCTAATATTTAGTTTATATAAGGATTTAGGCCAAAGTATGTTATGAGATTTTCAGTACTGTAGTATTTCAAATTTCTTTTTTCAGGTTTCAAGATACTTGTCAATTTTCAAGATATTTGTCAATTTTTTTGAAATAATTTTGTTTACTAATTGCCTCCATAGCAAATTGTTAGCTCTCTATGGGTATGTCTACACTACCCCGCTAGTTCGAACTAGCGGGGTAGTGTAGACATACCCATAGAGAGCTAACAATTTGCTATGGAGGCAATTAGTAAACAAAATTATTTCAAAAAAATTGACAAATATCTTGAAAATTGACAAGTATCTTGAAACCTGAAAAAAGAAATTTGAAATACTACAGTACTGAAAATCTCATAACATACTTTGGCCTAAATCCTTATATAAACTAAATATTAGGAAAGCCCTTATAAAATACTTTTAATTTTATTATGGAATCTCAATAGTGGAAATGGACAATGACTTCATAAAGTAGAATGATTAACTCTATACTTAAGATCTGTATTGAATTTTACACCATTTTGACTTGGAATTAACAATGCAATGGTCCTTGGGAGGATTATTCTGACAATTCTGTCTATTAATCAGCCTTTCCTCACTTCTGAGCTGTTGAAAGAAAAAGATGTAATTATACAAAGGTTATTTGTACAGAAAGGAATGATTCACTTCCTCTCCTCCTTAGTGTGAAAATTAGATCTACTGTTGAAACCATCAATTAAAGTTGTGATGCTTTAAAGTTCACATATAGGAATTTGTGCATTTAAAATGTAATTTGTACGTTAGTAACAAGTGTATAATTCCTTCTTTTTGATATTGCTTCCAAAAAGAATGCCTTTAAAACAGAAACATTTGCAAGGAAGAAAAATGAAATGCCCTCTTTTTGTATCTCTTAAAGCCTTGTATTCTGACAATATACTAGTCAGTAAAATCTTTAGACTGAGAGATTCTGAAATTCAAGTTTTATCACAGAATATTGTATATTGTCTTTTGTAAATGTCATTCTTTATTTCATTCTTCCTGGAAACAATGGAGTGAAAGTGAAATTGTTAACATACATAAAGATGTCTGCTAATCAATATTTTGTGTTCAGAGGAATCATAATCAGGATACATTAACTGAGCAGTAGAGTGAATACTATGCAGTAATATAGGAATTCACTAAAAATATTTATGTATGAATGTACTATTATATTATAATAAAATGATGAAAATGAAAATAGTCAGTCATAGCATTGCAAAAGATTCCATTTTAGATGCAAAACTAATTACTATGTCGTATGGAGACATGAAGTAGAGATCTCAAAGCTACATATAATCATCATTCCAAAAGAAATGTTAATTTTGTTGTCATGATTACTATTAATTTCACTATATCCTGTGACAGGTTTACAGAAAGTAGGAGGTCGTGTTATTCCAAACCCAGTTTTCTTGTTACCAGCTTGGTCTAGATGACTGTTTTGCTGATTCAAGGATAAGCATTCCTTTAGTTTAAGAAGCCTTTTTATGAGTTGAGAGAAGGTGCAGGTCCATTATTCTGCTATACTAGTTTATAAGATGAAATAGTGGCTGCAGTCACACTTTATTATTTTTACATTAGGTGTTTCTTGGTGTTCTGTGGGAACACTTTGGGAAAGCTGCTAGCCAGCTCATGCTGCTTTGTTTACCTAAAGGGTCCATAGCCATGGAGCCTCGTGGCTCTTCTTGTCTCCAGTTTGCCATTTCCAGCCAAGGGGAGTTGAGGGAAGTGGTGACCTGGGCCATGCCGCTTCCCGTGGCTCTCTTTTTCTGGAAACTGATAAACGGAGCCAATGAAAGTCTCGAGGCTGCGTGGCTATGGACCCTCTCAGTAAACAAAGAGGTGTGGGCTTGCTGGTGGCTTTCCCAAAGCAGGCCCATGGAACATTTTGAAAACCACTGCATTAGGGCATTGGGACCAGTAGGTCCACATAATCACAAATCATTTGACTCTGTCACTCCTGTTGACCTATGTGATGGTCTAGGTAAGGCCACCTTGGTATAGCCTTCATGCTGCTACTTTGTGTCTTCTTTATTCATTCATCCCACTGCATGGCTTTAAATGGTACAGAAAAGCTTATACTGATCCTAGATACTCAAGATACCTTTCACTTCAGTGAACCCTGTCTTCATTGAAGTAAACAGCAAAACTTCTATTGAAGTTTTGATTCTGTAAGCCAAATTCTCTCATAAATGTGGACACGTGTATGTGCCTGCCTTTTCGGTACAGTGTCTTCAGCTGCTGACTGCTGAAATTTTGACTCTTGATCTAATAATTGTTGTAACCCACAAGTCTGCATTATGGAAATTTACTACAAAAAAATGTTGGTGTTCTATATTAAACCCTCTTCCTGACTGAGGCAATGCTCATATATAGTCACCTCAGAACCTAGATGAGCCTCTGTAAGTATTTTGGGGAAAGGAAAATAATAAGTATGAAATGTAGGCATTAGGAGAGAAAGTTCAATTTTGTAAGAGCTAGATTGAAGCATTAAGTTATAATTAAAAAGTTATTGAAGACCTCCAGAAAGCTCCAAGCCAATTTAATTAATGCAGTCAAACCTCTTTCTTCCCTCCCTCTAACAGAAAAGCAGCATCAGTTCCATGGTATTTCAAAGGTTACAGAAGTCTGAATTTTACCTATAGTGAATGCTAAATATAATTATAAATTCACTCATATCCTACTCTTTTTTTTTAACTTCTTGGGGGTAAAAATCCTGCCAAAGGAAACTTTACCATGGAATCTATTGTGCATTCCTGATGTCAGTGAAAAAATCAGTTTGGAGGAATATCTCGTGTGTGAGAAAAAGGAATCTGTAAAAGTTTTATTAGTCTGGATATAAGAAAAAAGTGGAAAACAGCCTGCTGAAGTTAGGAAGGAGAAAATACCCTTGATTGTCTCTATCATTACCATTTAGTGTGGTATTTCTTTCTGTCCTTACTGTGGGATTTTCAGATGGATGTGCGATAATTTGGTAAATAAAAATGAGACAGAATTTGACAGGTACATTAAAATGGGGTATAAAGAGAGGTATTTTGAGTCTTGTATTACATGGCATAGTATGTTAAACTAGTATATTTTGTAAATAATATGGAGTGCTATAGCATTATACAGAAATATAACAAGCAGTATCATTGACAAACAGTGTATGTGTTATAAAAAAAATCTGGGTTACCTGCATCCCTATATTCCTTGAGGGAGCTCTTACCTCTTCCGAACAAAAGACAAAAATAAGACTTACACAATGAAGACTGAACTCTTAATTCTATATTGATTTATCAATGTCATTAGCTTCATACTTTTGTGTAAATTTGTAGAATCAGTAACTAAGAATTCAAGCTCTTTCTGGTGGGATTTTTCCTAAGTAATTCCAAAATACTTGCTATTGAAAAGCTGATTCTTTTTAAGCACCTTGAAATGAACACAATAACAATACAGTAACATTCCTAATGGTGATAAAACTTCTTGTAAGTAATAACTTCTGATGCAGAAATAAAACTGCAGTTCTGTTAAATATATGAGCACATTTTAAAATACCTTCATCTTCTAAATATAAAACTGAGCTTTGTGATTATAAAAAGAAGGAAACATAATATCTTTGAGATCATTGGTGAGATTACAGAAAGGAAGTTTGTGTGGTGCTTATAGTAATGCACCTAGTGTCTAGACTCCTGAGATGAAACTTTCAATTAACGTACTTCAGTTAGGCCAGTGTTTTACCATTGGTATCTGGTTTTCATTCAGGCATTATCACACTATATGACCTCTTACCACTTTTATACTTCAGTTTTCACTTGTATGAAATCATAAAATCCTAGGACCGGAAGGGACCTTGAAAGGTCATCAAGTTCATTCCCCTGCACTTATGGCAGGACCAAGCACCATCTAAACCACCTCTGATAGTGTTTGTTGAACCTGATCTTAAAAGATCTCCAAAGATGGAGATTCTGCAACCTCCTTAGGCAATTTATACCACCCTGACCATTAGGACAAGAAGCAATGGGCTTAAATTACAGCAAGGGAGGTTTAGGTTGGACTTTAGGAAAAAGTTCCTATCATCAGAGTTTAAAGACAACAGTTCCCCCCTCCCTTCCTTGTAATGCCTTTTAGAGACTTGCAAACCGTTACCCTGTCCCCTCTTAGTCTTCTCTTTTCTAGATTAAACAAACACATTTTTTCAGCCTTTCCTCATAGGTCATACTTTGTAGACCAGTGATAGGCAACCTAGGCTAGTTAATGGGCCACATGAATGGCCCTCCTTTGCCTAAGTGAGCTGCAAGATTTTTGTAACTGTGACGAGGCGGGACGCCTCTGCTCAGCCGAGGCGAACCCGCCTCGCACTGAGCCAGCTGTGGCGCTTGCGCTTCTCAGCGCCGCCGGGAAGCTGCGGCCGGTCTGTGCAGCTTGCACGGCCGCGGCCAGGCAGCACGCCGCCCAGCGCAGAGGCAGTCCCGGCGTCCGGCGTAGTGACGTCGGGGGATGACATCAGGGGTGCACCAGTGGCAGGGAGTTTAAAAACAGAAGGAGGAAAGCCCGAGGGGAGGGAGGGAGGGAGAGAGAGACATAGTGGAGAGTCCGCAGCAGAGGAGCAAGGCAGGTAGGGAGTAGGAAGCAGCCCAGGGCAGGGACTGGATTGGGCCTGGCGAGCCGGAGGGTTTCGGGGTTAGAGTCCCCCGCCGGCTGAGTGGGTCTGGTGGGACCTGCTCTTAGGGCCCTGGGATGGGGCCCATGAGTGAGGGCAGGCCCGGGCCCCCCTACTCCCTCCCTCGGCTGAGGGCCGACCACCGAGCACCGAGAGTGTGGCTGCTGAGCAAGCGAGCACGTTACGCTCCCAAACGGCAGTATCGGCCACCCAAGACCCTGGCATAGTGAGCACCGAGAGCGTGGCTGCTGCGAAAGCGAGCGCGTTACGCTCCCAAACGGCGGTATCGGCCACCCAAGACCCTGGCATAGGGGGCGAGGGGGTGAACCTTCGCCGCCGCAGACTGGATTATAGGAGGGGTTGCGCCCCAACAATAGGACTTTGGGGCGTGGCACCCCCACAGTAACCAAGACAGCGTCCTGTGATAAGGTAGTTTTGCTAACTACACTTGCATAACTAGAATTTGTGGAGTGTGCTGATTGAACCATAGCTGCACTATGAATGGATACAGAGGGATCACAGAACTCTCCCAGTCAATGTTGTGTGCAATCAGCATGCATCTCACTTCACATGAATGTGCTTTACGTGTGTGTCACTTTAGTAATATTGGTAGGAGAAAAAACCATTGTGAATGGAACTGAGGAGAATTTGACAACCCTTTGTTTGGGTAGTGATAAACAAAATGTCTCACGGGCCACTCATAGAATCGTGATAGGCTGCAGGTTGCTCACCACTATCCTAGAGAGTTCATCATGTTTGTTGCTCTTCTTTGGATTTTTTCCATTTTGTCCAAATCTTTGCAAATTGATTCCTTAATTATTTCTTCCATTATCTTTCCTGCTACAGAAGTTAAGCTGAGTGGTGTCTGTTTCCCTGGATTGTCCTTATTTTCCTTTTTTTAAAGGCATGATAAAGGGACATAATAGTCCTTAGTCCTCTCTCACAGGAATGGCACAAGACTTATTTTATAAATATTTATTTGTTTTTTTAGATGTTTGACTTTTAAACTTGGGTATAGTAAGTTCAACGTATTACTGTGCACATGGAGTATGTTTCACTCCACGCAGGGAAAGGTTATGGAGAATTTTTGTTATTACCCTCTTTATCATGCTCTGTGGTCTGCTTCTTAAGCCTTCATCTTCAGTAGCTTGATTGTTTTGATTAAATAGATGATGGAGCATTGTTATGGCTGTGGTGTGTCAGGAGGATAATCATTCCAAAGTTTGACTCGTAAACCTCTATTTTGGTGAATTGGAAGGGAAGGCAGAATTTTATTATTATTATTATTTTCTAGTACAAGCCAAAGGATTTATTTCCCTCTCATAATGGCCACTAACATCTTAGAAAACTCTAGGCCACTCTAATGTGCTCTATCTAGGGTTTGAAGTCCATTTGAAAGCTGAAGCTGGTCAGAACATAGCTGTATATCTCTTGCATGGGGGCAAGCCCTGTAAGAATTTCTTTTTGAGTCTTCACTCTAGTTTCCTTTCATCTCCAGACATAAGTCAAGAGGATGCTGATGACTCCCTCAAGCTTGGAATAGTGCGAGACAGCTTCCCCCACCTCAGCATTAAGGTCGTCTACAATGCTCTTGCTCTCTGTTCTGGAACTGGGTTCCTCAGTATTGGTGGCAAGATTCTCTCATCCAAGTGCTCCCACCTTTTGAATTCACTCCCTTTGGCAGACTGCCAAAACTCAGATTTAGTAATATTTAAAGCATGGTAAAAGACTTGTTTGTTCTTTTCTGGTTTGAGTATATTTGCTTTAATTCCTGGCAACATTACAATATGGCTGATAACGTTTCTGGAGATGGCAGTGGTACTTCTGTAATGTTGCCCACTGTAGTTTTATGTCTATTTTTTCAGTAAATGTGCCATGCCCCCACTGCATATGGGTGGCAAGACCACAGAGTCCACATATGGTCTATGACAGCGTTTTCCATAGAACTCTGGTAGGGGTCAGGAAAGGAGTGTACTCCTATAAACTAAATGCCTTTATAGTCACAGGCTGGGTGTACCAGAACTCTTTGCGCTGCCTTTGTATTGAGGAGTGAGAATTAGATGTCCCCTAAACTCAAGCATAAGGTCCTTTTCCTTAAGCTTTGCATAGGAACCACTCTTTGGCCCTGAATCACCAAATATGTGCATACCACTAATTAGAATAATATTGAGAAGACATAGAAAAGTATATTTGAAGAGAGCTAAACTGCATCGTTTGAGAGCGTCTCAGAAGCTCTGAAATAGAAATAATTCTTTACTATTTTTCTCTTTTTCACTGACTCCTATTCTCACGATCTTTCCAATGGAGCAGATGAAATGAATAGGACTGTAAATAGGACTTTCTGAATGTTATGATATTGGCATAACAATAGCTTGTTATCTACTATAAGAAGGCCAGAAGGGGTGATTGTGTTTAACAGCTAATATATATATATCAAATTCTTTGCCAAATATATACATATATATTTGGCAAAGAATTTGACTTAAGATTATAGCAGTTTTAAAGTCACCGTCACTGGGTCCTGAAATATTTGACTGTTACTTTTAACACTGAATACATTTAAATTATTTAACTATTTAATTATTTTAATTATTCAATAGAAAGATGTGCAGTGGGATACAATGTGTTTAAAGTCAGATTTTGGATCAATAGTTTAAGCACATTACAGTTTCACTCATGACCAGGAAATTAACTAAATGGATATACTCTTGTGCTTAGCGTGACGGTACATTTGACCATACTAATAAATGTGGCATTTCATTGACTTTTAATGGGTATTAGATCTCGGCCAGAGACAACTGTGTGGAATTCCTGCATGTCAAATCTATTAACAGATTCACTGGAGTTATTACATTCAATACAAAGTTGCATGAGGTTTGTATTGAAAAGTCCTATATCATATTGATGACAAGAAATCTGAGAAACACTGAAAGGTGTTTAATTAATACAAAGAAAAGCCTTCTACAGTTATTTTTTCTTCTATGTGTGTTGAAATGATGTTGTTTTTTAAAAGTAGAGGACATGGGCCTAGCCTTACATTTCTTCCATCTAGTTATTTTCAGGCCATGGAAGTAGTTATGATTGAAATAAGGTAAAGCTGATTCATGTGCTGGTGATACATTTGTACATAAAGTACCTGTTTTTGACTTCATACATTATAAAATCTGTCATATTGAGGTTATCACATCTCACATTCACAGCTTAGAGCTGAAACATGTAAATTCAAGATAACAGAGATTCAGTGTTTACAAATGTTTGGATGGAATATATTCTTCCACACATATACACATAGAAATAACTTTTAACTATAGGCATTGAGCCTAGGATCTTTCTACAGGATTTTAAGTCTCACTTTTAGAATAGTGTATTTTCAAGAAATGTTTTAAAACTATGAACTTGTATACTAAACAAGATGAAATTAACTTGGGACTGTTAATACTGTGTCATTACTCAAGAGTCTTATATCAATGTAGTTTTTAGCTAAAAAAAACCACAACAGAGTTAGCATCAAGGTGGTTTAGAAAAAAATCTTGTAAAATGAAACTGTAACCAGGAAAATGAGACATGTTGACATTCAAAATAACTGCCATGTATTATTTTCCATGAAAAGATTACAAACAGAATGATACAAAATTTTGAGGTACCTCTGTGTGTGAGATGTTGGTATAAACTCAGTATACTCAGGAAAGGATGAAAAATAATTATATCAATTTCTGGGTTAAAATAATCATAAGGTGTCCTCTGCTTATCTAGTACAACAAACAAAGCATGAATGTTTCCCGTGAGCTCACTGCCCAGGCAGTCTCCTTAGCACTGCAATCTTACCTGTTGCACAATCAGCACTCTAATGAAGAGGAACCAAAACAATCTTCCCTTTCTTTTCTCAGGAATTACCCAGGAATTAGTTCATCGTGAAGAAGCAGCGTTATGAGTATTACTGAAGTAAATTCAACTTAAGCCCCAGAGAGTGCCATAGACTAACCAGACAACTCTCATGTTTGTATTGCAGTCATGACACAACAGTGAGAAATACCATTCTTTGGTTAATAAATGATCACACTTAATATGTATCATCACTGAATCAAAACTAGCAATAAACACAACCACCATGCTACGTTTCTCAAAATACTACTGATGGAGATCAAAATAATGTACAGTAAAACTCCAATAGTCCGGCATCCAATAGTCCGGCACTCCTGATAGTCCGGCATCAAAATGGCAAGAGCCTAGTGAGTGAGCTTCAGCAAAAAATAAGTCACAAGGTAACAGCGGCAGCAGCTGAACTGAGCAAAAAGGGTAAAAAAGGCTTTAAAAAACTAAAACATTACAGTATACTGTATACAGTATGTACAATAAAAAGGGTTAAGAACACCTTATATACAGTATATAATGTATACAGTGTGTGTATATATATATATATATATATATATCCATCTTATAGTACCTCCTGATAGTCTGGCATATTTGATAATCCGGCACCACCTAGGTCCCATAGGTTCCGGATTATTGGAAGTCTACTGTACAAAGCCCCAGTTTCCTGACACGATCTTCTCTGTATTAGATTTTCCAGTTGCAAGAAGACCATCTCAAAACAGAAACATGCTTTCCAACGTTTTTTGGCTGTGGTTCATAAGCAAATGATAAAGGAAAAAAACAAATGGTGACTTCTTTAAATCTCACATTTATGGTATTTTAATTACCAGACCTTGTTGTTTTATAGCACTGCACATATGATGTTGTAATATGCTACATCTATAGTATCTTAAAATTCCTACTATTATAATTGCTATATTGCCTTTATATCAGAGAAGCCTGAAAATGACATTTCCAAGGCACACATAATATGGTATGAGTTAAACTTTGAAGGATAAGAAAAATTGTGCATGCAAGTCTCTTAGGAAGACCACCTGGATCTAAATGGGCCAGGTTTCCCATCTATAAAATGTTGATAATACATATATAAGTGATACAATGACGAGCTAATGGTTTACACAATGCTTTGAAATGGAAAGTACTAAATAATTGTTATGAAACTGTCTGTGAGATGAAATGTTAAGTTCTTAATGTGTGGGTATTTCTTGAAATGAATAACATTTCTCTGCATCCTTGATTATATATTCAAACATAATTCCTGGCTCTGCTAGAGACTTCTGATGCAATATTGGACAAGACTGTTATAATATGTACACAAAAGTAGACTACATTAAAGTTATAGAGACAAACCATACTGGTGTTTCTTTAAGTACTGGACTTTGCAATCTTATGATTTTAACTTTCTTTTTTTGCAAGGAATTTAAAGAATATTGGAATATTTGATTATTTGCTAGCCTAGAGGAATGACAAACCACACAGGAAGTACAGGCCCACTTCATCCAATGTGATTTAACTGGTAGTTAAAGGTATTTAGCACCTCGCAGTTTTGAGCCATTTGTGTGCACACATGCAGTGTGTCCACAATGACACAGATCTTGTTTTGAAAGGTTGTTGCACTTGTATGTAAAAGAATCTGGAAGCTCATATGAAAATATTAACAAAAGTAGGAAAGTTAGGAAAGTGAGTCTTTCTTTTGTAAATTGGGTTAATTTTTGGAGCCTCCCATCCGATCTGACTCCTTCCCATCCCATCTAACTCAGGATTTTGAATTTGAGAACTTCTCTTCTAAAACTATAGTTTACATCATGGATAGCACTGAGCACACAGTGAAAGAAAACCTAGCAGCTGACTATCTGTTTGACTGACTTAGCATATATTTGGATATATATATTTGCTCAATGTAAAGTTCTCATCATTTGAAGTTATTTTTGTTTTTATTGTCAAGTGTAGAAGTAGTACCACAAAAGGTAACTGTTTTTACTGTTAACGGTTTATTGTGAATAACTGAAAAAGAAGAGAGACATTTCCAAATAACTGTGTGATGGTGAATTAGTGAGACGATGCCCCCAGTTGTAAGCTTGTAGCAAACTAATTTGTTTTGATTTCAATGTCTACTTGTGGCTTTCAGCATATAAATTTGAGGGGGAAACAATTATTATTTTATGATTTTTTTAAAGTTGCCTTTGTTTAATTTTTCACTTGTACTCAGGAGTACAGGATCTTTTGAAAAAGGTGGGGGGGTTTCAAAAGAACTGCGTCTAGAAAATGGTTTCACTTTTGAAATACCCGTTTTTGAAAACACACAGCCGCCATTATGCAAATGAAGTACGGGAAATTCAAATCCCAGCTTAATTTGCAATTTTGATCTGTCTAATTTATATCCCTCTTTCAAAAGAGGAATGTTGTTTAGACATAGCCAAGGATAGTATGGATTTAAGAATCTTTCAAGATCTATCCAGCTGAAGATATACTATTTTTAGCACCCACAGTTTGCTTGCTGCTGGGCACATGCACAAGGACATAGTCTGTCTCAGCTTAAAATCTTAGACAATTAACATATATGGTTTAGGAAAGAGAAATACAATAAAAATATATACAAGTATTATATACATTTTATATACCATTTGTTTGAAATATTTATCAGCCATAAGAAACTGCTACTCAACACACACTTCTTAGGTGACTAGTTAGGAGGGGCATAAGGATCTTGCGCAAAAATGGATCGGAATAGATTATGCAAATGAAGCATGAGAAAATGCTAATGAGCGCTTCATTTGCATTGCCTCTTCTGACAACACACGTAGTATAAACATAGCATTTAGGAGAGACACTGTCTACTGTTGGATTTTCCCCTTATGAAATGAAGGGAACTATTCTAACAGACATCTTTGTTTAATATTAATCTAATTCTTCATTAAATTGTGATGTTCTTAAACATGAACTCTTAATGATGATTTTCCAACAAAATACATTTTAATTATTCATAAATATTTGTAGCAAATGTGAGTAGCCCAAATGTTTAAACAAAAAGAAAACTCATGGGGATTAGAAAAAAATAAAAACATTCCGCTAAAATGTATCAAAGATTTTTTTTTTTACAGACAGAACACATTTAAATGGAATTCCTGCCTTAAATCTGTATGCAGGGGCAGTATATATAGCTCTGTAGAAATGAAGTGCTAAGTAGGGAAGTATAAAAATATTATCTTTTAACCATCAATAAATATTGAAATAATGATAATGAGATTCATAACCAAAGAAAAGGTAGTTCACTTCTTTGCTGACACTGCTTGGATAAAAGTTGGTATGAAGAGTCTTTCATTAAGCACAGAAAAAATTTAGGGTATATAACTTACTGGTAATGGATATAATAGCTATGATTTAATATGCTAAAAACAATCTATGACTACAAAGAAAGAAAACAAAACTATCATAACTTACTAATCAAAAAGCATACATTTATTTTTAAGTTTCCAAGAAATCATGCTGTATCCCACATCTGCCTTTCAACTTCAAGCCCTTTGCCTCATGTGGGTTTTTTTACTTGTTTGTAGTTATTGTATTTACTACTTAAGCTCTTCTGAATGGGGATATGTCTATTAAGTGTTGAGTAAAGCGCTTAGCAAATTATTGTCGATCCTAAAACAACCCCCTCATAAAAAGTGATTAGAGACCTAATTTTTACTCTATATACAAAGCAGGTAAGTAGGAGCAAATCATATATACCTTTCATCTTGGCAGGGAAATTTTAGGATGACAGAGGATTTGAACTAGTACTGGTGGAAGTAGACAAAATCTTGCTTACACGAGACATAGGCAGCTGATTTTGAGTAGATTTGGGTGCCTGCAGCTTTACAGGATACATCAGTATCGTCAAGGATGCTTAGAAAGCTACAAAATGCTGTGAGGACCATGTATAACCAATAAAGTGAAAGAAGAGAGATGATTATTCTTACTAAATATGCTAGTTAGCATGTGCACCCATATTCCATTCATATCTACCTTAAAATTATATTAAAGCTAATGCTAAAATGATATGAGACACAGGTTAAATGAATAGTGTCAGTATATCTGAGAAAAATGCTTAAATTATTCAAAAGTTTGGTTTAAAAATCATAAAATACATATAGTAATTAAACAGCAACAACACAAATCTAGATTAATAATTTTAACCATACAGCTTAGGTGTTAGCGTCCAAATATTCATGGACATCTGTCATGAAGTTATATTAGAGTTGATCGTAGAAGGCAAGTCTAGGAATGAGTGGAGATTCTCCAGTTCTAGTGGGGAGGGATAGCTCAGTGAATTGAGCATTGGCTTGCTAAACCTGCTGTCAGGGCAGGGGACTTGACTCAGTGACCTCTCAAGGTCCCTTCCAGTTCTATGAGATAGGTATATCTCCATATATATTTATTTTCTCAGTAAATAATCATGTAGGATAAGTTGACACTTAGTTATACAGTCTATCAGAGGAGTATTCCAGTTACTTTCCTCACTTGGCTTGGTTTGCTGATATCCAGTCATGTTCTAAACAGCTGTCTCTTGACTACCTGATGACATGCAATACTATGAGATGCTGCATCAGTCGAGCATAATACTGACCGATTCCCCATTCCTGTAGCACTTCCTCTTAAGTTAGGTCCTATGTGCAGATGATCAGCACCTGTGTTTGAACCTGATAACTACTAGCTCTCAAAACATTGGCCAAAGGAGAATATTTCTCCATCTTTTGAGCTCAGATGTTGACAATTGGTGAAGCTGCCCCAAGAAGGAAGTGGTTGCTGGCATCTCACTTTCAAGTCACTTTGAAGGCCCTGCCCTGCTTCAGCTTTCATTTCAGGTTCTGCATATATTGGAATTGGATAGCATTCTTCAGGGTCCTGTCCAGCATTTTTCTAGGTGTCATAGTGATGACTGTGTGTTCTGTATTCTTCACTTGTGGTACCAGGACTCCAGCTTCTGGCATTCCTCATGCCACATCTAGTAGCTGCTATGTTGTGTAGTGGTTCTGGATCGAGACCCCAATGCTGCAATAGCCATCTGTGACGGGCCGGCCCCTGACCAGGGGCGGGGGGAGCGGAGCCCCCGCCGGCTGTCACTCTCCCGGGGGCGGGGTGAGCGGAGTCGGGGTCCAGGGACAACGCAGAACAAAAGGAGGACCAAAGGGGTCCGCAGACCCCCCCTCTCGGACCGGGAGGGGGTGATCGCACCCCAAAACCCTCACAGCAACCAAAATTATTAGGGATTTGGAATGGATATCATATGAAGAGGGATTAAAAAGACTGAGACTCTTCATTTTAGAGAAGAAGACACTAAGAAGGATATGATAGAGGT